GACGTTAAATATCAATATGATTTTAACCTTTAGGTGAGTTAGTTTGACGTTAAATATCAATATGATTTTAACCTTTAGGTGAGTTAGTTTGACGTCAAGTAGCAATATGATTTAACCTTTAGGTAAGTTAGTTTGACGTTAAATATCAATTTGATTTTAACCTTTAGGTGTGGTAGTTTGACGTTAAATATCAATATGATTATAACCTCTAGATGTGGTAGTTTTACATCAAGTAGCAATATGATTTAACCTTTAGGTGAGTTAGTTTGACGTTAAATATCATTATGATTTTAACCTTTAGGTGTGGTAGTTTGACGTCAAGTAGCAGTATGATTTTATATTTATGGTCATTTTTGTATGTTTTATGTGAACTAATGATCATGAAAATGTATTTAAGAATACATACTTGTTCAAGTAATGTATTTAAGTTTTTATCAAAAATATATATATTTAATCAGTTACGGTGTTCGATAAACTATTATGGGTATTTATTGTTAAAACTATGTTTTGTAAGAAATCTGGCTTTCTGATTTCTCAGTCTTTATCTACGTCTCTGATTGGAGCACAAGCACACACACTCTTAGTACGTCGTGCCTCTTTTTTCAGATTATCTGGTTAAGATATGCTACTAAGTCATTAGTTTAGTTTATCAGATTTGTTATTCAAGTTTACTCAGTTTACCCTGCGTTCAAAAATAAATAAAATACAGATTTTTGTCCAATATTTGATCGTATATTTATCATAACTAAATATTTAGAGACATTTATTTATTTTAGATTAGTGTAAACGACAATGAATAGTTGTTTCAATGACACAACGTTACTATTTCACAGATGTATATTCTATCTTAAAACCGTTTGTTTTATGAGTCATTTCCAGAAGATTGTAATTCTTGATTAAATTTATATCAATCATGCTGACGATGATTCGATAACCATATGTCAACATATGCAATTATATTTAACAAATATCGTTATCACTTGTATATGTCATAAGTTTTGTTGTTGTTTTTTACACAATACCTTGGGTGTAATCGTTTGTTACGCCAAAAAAATCAAGAAATGTTGAACTGGCTGATTACAGGCTGTATTGATGGACTACTGAGCTAAAGCTAGTTTTATCAACATTTTTGTTATTAATCTGTTAGATAAATAATGTAAACTGGCTGATCACGGGCTGTATTGGTGGACTACTGAGCTAAAGCTAGTTTTATCAACATTTTTTTTATTAATCTGTTAAATAAATAGTGTAAAGTGGCTGATTACAGGCTGTATTGATGGACTACTGAGATAAAGCTAGTTTTATCAACATTTTTGTTATTAATCTGTTAGATAAATAATGTAAACTGGCTAATCACGGAATGTATTGGTGGACTACTGAGCTAAAGCTAGTTTTATCAACATTTTTTTTTATTAATCTGTTAGATAAATAGTGTAAACTGGCTGATTACAGGCTGTAGTAAAGTACTGCTGGGCTTAAGCTAATTTTATCCATATTTCTTGATATTAATCTGTTAGATAAATAGTGTAAACTGGCTGATAACAGGCTGTAGTAAAGTACTGCTGGGCTTAAGCTAATTTTATCAATATTTCTTGTTATTAATCTGTTAGATAAATAGTGTAAACTGGCTGATTACAGGCTGTAGTGAAGTACTGCTAGGCTAAAGCTAGTTTTATCAATATTTCTTGTTATTAATCTGTTAGATAAATAATGTAAACTGGCTGATCACGGGCTGTAATGATGGACTACTACGCTTGGAAAGCTAGTTTTTTTCAACATTTCTTGTTATTAGTCGCTGATATGTATATTTTCATCTCAAAGAATGTAGTAGCAAGTTTTATTAAAATGTGTTAGTTTTAAATTTTTAAGTCTCTATGAAATGCTACACTGTAAATTAATTTTGAATATTTGTGAACCTCTAATGTAGTATATAGCTATGTCTATACAAGTGGGCCCGCATGGCCAGGTGGTTAGGACGCTCGACTCGCAATCTGCGGGTCGCGGGTTCGCATCCCCATCCCACCAAACATGCTCGCCCTTTCAGCCGTGGGGGCGTTACAATGTGACGGTCAATCCCACTATTCGTTGGTAAAAGAGTAGCCCAAGTGTTGGTGGTGGGTGGTGATGACTAGCTGCCTTCCCTCTAGTCTTACACTGCTAAATTAGGGACGGCTAGCGCAGATAGCCCTCGTGTAGCTTTGCACGAAATTCAAAACAAACAAACAAACTATACAAGTGTATGTGCATAAGGTAGTCAACATTTTCTAGTTCAGAATAACGTCTTATATAAATGTAAAATATTCAATATTACCGGTAAACAGATGACTTTAGTAACAGTATTTTCAGATAGAAGTATGAAGTGTGAAAAGGATAGAAAAAGGCGGCGTAAACAGAAAATATAGGTGTTAATCTGACCTGTCTAATAATATGTATTATTAACTATATGACATACTTACCTGGAAGAAATCGGTTCTATTTCAATTTAATTGTCTACATTTCATGATCTTTCCATCAGTGTCTTCAGCATTCAATATTCTAGTCTGATTACTCCATTCAATCGGTGTCTTCAGCATTCAATATTCTAGTCTGATTACTCCATTCAATCTGTGTCTTCAGCATTCAATATTCTAGTCTGA